GCTCCCAACAGCTTTTCAAATAGATTCAGTCTCACGAGCTGATTTAAAGGTGATTAGCAATTTCCTTAGTCCCCTGAAACCAAAATCAGTGGTAAGTATAATCCTTAACAGAAACCTTACCAATAAAGCCACTCTTTTCCCCGTTCCCATACACAGCCTACAAGAGCAAGGGGTGGTCAAAACAGATTTGATACAGCTCTTTCACTCTTCCTTATTCAAAAGCAGTAGCAATGGTTTTTCTTACACCTACACTCAAAACATGACTGTGTTTCTTCCCCAGATACCCTAAACCCTCCTAAAATGAATATACAAATGAGGTCCAGCCCATCACACCCCGTGATGGCCAGCTAATACCACCAGGAGCTCAGTTCCCCTAAGGGACTTCTGCCCTGCTAACATTTGCAAGCAACTCCGGGATGCTGGTCTCCTGGTTCTGGGATCACCAACAAGTCCTCTGCACACTGCAGCTTTAGTGTAGAGAGCTTACATGCTGCCCTGCTTGGCTGGAAAGATAATGGTGGTTTCCCCCTTTCCGTATAAATATTCTTTTTATTATGTGGCCTTTATGCAAACAGTAAAAGAAGGGTCTTTCTGGGGACTCGGCCTTATACAAAAGGCTTTCAGAGAGTATGGTAGGCCAATCCAAAATGTTGAATGATCATAACTGGTACCCAAATATTGTGCAAGAACATCACCATCAAATACCCATGTCAAGGTCCCTTAAATGGGCAATAAGGAAAGCTTTGCACATCCTTGCATAAAAAGACTTTCCCCCAAATTTATAGCTACTAAACTCTCAACCAGTGTCAATCAGGATGGCTCTGCCGATTGCAGTGTCCCCTCCTAATCTACCCTGCTAAGCATCTAAATGGGTCAGGGGGGTTTAATAACATCTTTTAATAATGTCTTCCCCGGGTGGCGTGCCTCTCTTTCCCAGACATGATTTCCCTTCTAGTTTGCACAAGTATCACAGCTCCTTAAACATATTTGTGAATTTGTTTCCAGCCTGCAGCTCCCTCTGTCACTCAGTGGAAAAAGGTGTCTGTCAGATTTCTGAGCAACCGACAAGAATCACCTGGCAAGCTCTATAGCCTGTATAGCTGGTGAAAGATGGTAAGGTTTTTTAATACAACTAATGGAACATATATATATATATATATATATATATACACACACACACATACACACACACACACACACACACTCACCCCCCAACATGTATATGTGTTAGGGCTGTGTGAAGCTTCAGATGGTGATTTGATTCAGAGAAGAAGTACTTCTGGTCCACTTCCAGGTTTGCTGCTGAGCACACTGGAGAGCCCCCTGCACTGCTGTGAGGCGCTCCATCTGCCCCAGCACCACAGGGATCACGAGCCGCGCTGTTAACTCAACGGATGTAGAAAAAACTTTTAAAGCTGAGCCTGTGTCCTAATCACTGATTCGCTGAATCAACATTGAATCTTCAAAATTGGATTCGGCTGAATCGGATCGAGGTCAGTGATCTGAACCAATGGACTGAATCAGTGTCCCTGATTTGGGGTGAATCCAAATCCAAATTGAATTAGGCCTGTTTTGCACCCCTTAATATGTATATGTATATGTATATGTATATGTATATGTATATG